TGAAGTGTTCCACATTTTTATAAAGAAGCTGAACTCAGGGTCATTAGTAATGCAGATGCTTGGAGAGGAATTTTGGCACAAGTCTAGTTCGTTATAAGCAGTTATCAGTACGACTGGGGCATGTGTCAGAAATGCAGAACGCCTTCTCATACTTTTATAAGATTCGGACGCTTTCTTAACTACTATAACAGCATCCAGTTGTCTACTTTTGCCTGAGGGCTTGCAACGTTCTGACAGAGCAACTCCCCATGGATTTCGCTTGCCCAATTCATTGTGGAGCACCAAGATCCTGCATAAAAGTCATCGTAAAGTGGATATCTCCGCATTCAATTTTTCGGTATTACGTCCATCAAAAAACGGCTCAGGACGATGGTTGCAGGCAAATAACCAATCATTCATAGATTCGTCCAGCAGGAAAAGAAAAGTGAGTTTGGTTCCAAGCTTTCTTACCAACTCAGTTGATTCCAAAGGTTCATCGTCAACGAACTCAATGTCGAAAATATCTCTACTAGTCGCGCCGAGTTGGGTGTCATCCTCTGGGCGAGAGAGCTTGTAGAACACNCAGAGCAACTCCCCATGGATTTCGCTTGCCCAATTCATTGTGGAGCACCAAGATCCTGCATAAAAGTCATCGTAAAGTGGATATCTCCGCATTCAATTTTTCGGTATTACGTCCATCAAAAAACGGCTCAGGACGATGGTTGCAGGCAAATAACCAATCATTCATAGATTCGTCCAGCAGGAAAAGAAAAGTGAGTTTGGTTCCAAGCTTTCTTACCAACTCAGTTGATTCCAAAGGTTCATCGTCAACGAACTCAATGTCGAAAATATCTCTAGTAGTCGCGCCGAGTTGGGTGTCATCCTCTGGACGAGAGAGCTTGTAGAACAGAAGTCTGGCTTCTCGTCATCAACTTCTAGTTCTTTGGTTTAGTGCTACTGTTTAGCATGATAAATGAGCTCAACGCTCAGTAGAGACTTGATCGAATATCCAAGCCTCTCATTTGTTAATTGGATTGCAGCCTTCAGTTTGGGTCTAACCCATGAGTGGATTTTCAGCTCGTCAAGTATTTCAGGATCTGAAGAAGGTCAAGTTCTGATCGGCAAACATGACCTCTGCTGATTGCGTTGGGGTACAGAAAAAAATTGAAACCTTCCAATACCAGATCCGGGACTTGAAGTCAGGACAGGTCGACTGTCCAATCATTTATTGATGTCATTCAGCCTAGTCAAGCTTCAATCAGATGAACTTTGACATAAGATTGTACTATAATGACTAGTTAGCTCCTGAACAAGATGTGTATTTTCGAAATTCGGAGAAGGCATACCTCTTTGGGTATCACTGCAAGTAGGTAGTCGGAACCCATAAATGTTTGAAATTTAGAAGTTCTCTCCTAGAGCGTTGGTCTACCAGCCCGAAACAGTATTCGCTACTGCAACAGTATTCGTAGTTTTTATTCCATTTAGAATATTCATGTCTGAGATGAGAGTTTCTTCTCTCATCCACTTTCTGGAGTCATAGTACACTTTCAAGTGCCGGCAGAATACAAACATCTCTCCGAAGGGTTAAGCCGAAGGCACAGACATAAAATAGAACCGTTTTCCACCCCGTAGGGAAGAAAACGTATATTTTAGGTCTTGCCGAGGCTTGACCCAAGTGAGGGCTTGCCGTCACCAGCAGCATGAAGAATGGCTTTTCCTATTCTTCATGATTCGGAGCAAGTACTGAGGACTCTTCGCGTCCAAACGCGTCATCCGCGCTAGCCGACACTTGTAACTCAGTTCGAAGTACCCTTCTCCCCCCATAAATGGCTCTCATGGTAGGTTTTAGGCACGCATACAAGTGAAGGATACGTAAGGTAATCTCCGAAGGGTCAAGCCGAAGGCACAGACATAAAATATACGTTTTCTTCCCTACGGGGTGGAAAACGGTTCTAAACAATCATCCCTTCATAAATGTAAATTTTTCCCATCTTATTTTAATTAAGGAATTTAATTCATTTCATTTATTCCACTGTGTGGCTTTACGCCTTTTACAGAAAGGTACAGTTCCATAGATTAGTATACGTTGTATGTGAGAATACAGTAGATCTAGAGGTTTATGGTTCACGTATACAAAAGTCAACAATATAATATATAATATAAGAACAAAAACAAAATTAGTCTGCGTAGGAAGAAGGTGGAAAGAAGCTTCGTTCCCACCTCAGCTTGTTTCCTCGATTGCTCGTGCCTCTTTGGTTTTTGTCGCCTTGTAGATTTCCCGTAGGTAGTTACAGAGGGCTAGGATGGGGCTGTCTCTCAGGACCCCCATAAGCCACTGATCCAAAGGGACGTAGACTGGGCGCTGCAGCATCCAGTTGGAAAGGTCCTTAATTATTAAATTATTTTTAATTGAAATTGGCAACTAGTTAATATTTATTTGATCGTTTTTATGATGACGTATTCCATGATTAAATATTTACAAATTATTAAATTTTTCTCCAACTAAATAATTTTATCTGAATTCATGATTGGAAATTAGTCATTTATTATTCCTCTTTTAGGTTGATTTTTCAATTAAAATATGAGTATATTTTTCCAAAGACCAGTTTTTCTTTCAGTACATGGTGTAAATAAAAAAGGACGCTCCACCAGCAGCTGCTGCTCAGTAATTTCCTATTTGTTGTATTATCGCGACAATGAATAGAGAATGTTTACAAGAAGATGATTTTATCCATTTTATTTAATGCTCAGCCCCATCTGTATATAATCATCTCTTTACACATGTCGATTTTTCCTATCTTAATTTAATTAAGGAATTGATTCAATTTTTTATTAATAAATCGTTTTAAATTAATTATTGAAAACTAGTCATTTATTATTCGTTTTTTTTTACTAGATTTTTCAATTAAAACAATATATTTCTCTAAAGACCAGTCTTTTTTTCAATAAATGTTGCAAATAATAAAAAAAGGTGGTGCTCAGTAAATTTCCATTTGTAATTTTCAATTTCATGCATAAATATCTACAAATTATGAATTCTTTCTGCCAAACAGAAATATCAGAAAGGAAACACGTTCGGAAAAATTTCATAGAAAAACCTAGTGAATTCACTAAAAAAATCTATTACATTCCGATTGAACTTTTTCTTAGTTTTTGGCTGATTCTATTGAAAAATTCAATATGGAAAATATTCCACAAAAACAATCAATAGAATTCTATTTTCCGATACGACTTATTCCATTCAGATATTGTCTATAGAAATGTATCGGCTCAAATGTTCCAAGTTTTTCATTAGATTTTTTTCAATCAAAAAAGAAGAAAAATAGTGTGAAAAAAGTCTATAAAATTGATGTCAAGGAATTCCTATAGAAAATGTGTCAATAGAAAAATTAGTATTAGAAACTTGATATCCTACAGATTTGTTATATAAAATAGTTTCCAATGGGAACTTCATTTCATATAAAAAATGCGCAGTAAAACGGGAAATTATTCTATAGAATCGGCGAAAAACTTCGATAACACAGATTCAAGTGATCGTGACGTCATTATCATAATGCACAGAGTCTTCTCACAAGCACTCATCATCCGCCAATAGAAGTCACTGCGCAAGCATTAGCGACGTGATATAGCAAAGAGCAAGTGCAATTCAAATATCGTCCAGTGTCTTGCACACGCCGCAATAAACTTCGTGTGCATCGCGGAATTTCGATAAATACGGAATGGACAGGCAATACCTACAGTTCTTGCAATTAGAACAGTTGCATTATTCTCATCTGCGGAGTAATAAAAGGTGAACAAATGGAGACACGCGCTAAAAGTTCCAAATGTGAGTACATTTTCTGTTCTTGATTGCAATGTTTTTGAAAACATTATATTTATCGACGCGATTGCACGTGCTCTTGCGCCAATTGTGAATGGTAGCTGGATCAAAATTGTACTCGAAGGTCTCTTGCAAATAATTTCGGTCATGTTTTTTGAATTATCTTTTATTCATTTTGTTTCCCAGACTCTAAGGGTGACTGTAAATGCTCTCGCGGTGGAATTTCCCGCGACGACACTTCATCAAAATGTTTTTGTATCTGCGAATGTAATAGCCCAACTCGTAAGTTCAAAAATAAGTGCTATTTGCATAGTTAATTTTTGCTCTTCATTAAAAAATTGTCGATTTATTTAGGCAATTGTTGTGGTGCCAAACAGAACTGCTGTCTGACTGACAAAAGTCCGTGTGCATGCAGGTCTTCAAAAAGCGAGAATCAATGAATTTTTCAATATTGTAATGATGATTGTATTTTTCACGTCCGCATTGGTAATCGAATGCTGTAATTTGCTTCCAGATTCATACACTTTCAAATGTAAACTATGAAGAATATCAATGGATGCGAAATAGATGCAAGGAAACGATCGATGGGAATCAATTTTGTTATTAATCTAATAAATATTATGTGCTTATTGGTGTACAGTAAATTATTGAAGGAACAAATAAACTTGTAGGGAAAATAAATCAACTTTCTTTCATTATGTATTTATCTCCCAGAAATTTAAGTTTTTGATAATTAAAAATGGATAAAAATGGAATTTAGTGAATTCGACCGGAAATTCTATTGGATGTCCTTTTTAATTATTTGCAAAATTTATTGAAAAAAAAGAAGACTGGTCTATGGGATTTATATTGAACTTCTATTGGAAATGCCATTAGTTTTTGGTCGATTCTATTGAAGGATTCGGCAGTCTTAGTGCGCGTTTTTTTACAATTTCTAATAGAAATTATTTCATAGAAAAAATCATTAGAATCAATAGAATATTTTTACAAAATTTTTTCTATAGGAATTCCTTGACATGAATTTTCCACTCTATTGTTCTTCTCTTTCTATTGAAAAAAAAACAGGAAATTTAAGCCAGAGAATTAATTTCTATAGAACATATAGAAATTGCCCGTCAATAGAATAAGTTGTATAGAAAAATCCAATCCTATTCATTTTTTCTATAAAATATTTTCCACGAATCATTCTAGTCTAGTGAAAAAAATGCGCAGATAAGCTGCAGAATTTTTCAGTGGAATCACACGAAAACAAGTAGAAAGTTCACTAGAAATCCAATAGAATTTCCCAACGAATTCGTTCGGTTTTCCTATCAAAAATTTTCGTATGTAATATAAAATAAAGAAAATACCGCTCATGGAACATAAAAAACAATTGAGTAATTCCTTGACATTTCGTGGCTCCCTAAACTACAAAAAAATCTTCAAAATTTACAAGTTTCTCTCGATCGAAAAATCGAATGACTGCAGAGAAATAACCAGAATCCAATCGCAATGTCACGAGCCGTGAGGAAAAGGAGGAGAAGATGCCCGGGAATGCCGGAGGAGCGCGTGCTAACCCAGGAGATGTTATTTCAAACGGCATTCGCTAAATGGGAAAAACGACTGGTAAATTTACCGAGCAGTCATAGTTATCCCTGCCCGGGGAAACAGGAGAGACTGGCTGGTGGTGGGGAGGATGTTCCAGAGGCTGATCAAGAGAATGAGCTGCGAGCATCAACCGCAGTGCAGGAGAAAGCCCCGTCAGGGAAGGAGAGGACCTCATCAGGAAAGGAGATGACTCCACCAGAAGTAGTCATCGAAGCCGCATCTTCTGGGTCTCCTGCGTCTCCCAGCGCTCCAAAACTTCCACAAGAATCTACTGGGTAACTATTGCACGTACGAAAAAATTTAATAGAAAAACCTAAGGACTCAGCTTGGAAATTCCATCGGATTTCTATTGAACTTTCTATTAGTTTTGGGACGATTCTATTGGAATTGCGTGGCTTATCTGCACGTTTTTTTTTTTCAATGAAAATGTTCAATAGAAAATATTCCATAGAAAAAATTAATGGGATTTGATCTTAGAATATAATCTATTCTATTGAGATATTTTCTACAGAAATTCATGAGTGAGTGAAATAATGAAGTGGAAAAATCATTGAACACCGTCTCTTTAGAAAAGATGTATAACAGAATAAAATTCTACTGAATTTTCTTTATAGCTTATTTTATTGTTTTTGTAATTTGGGGTGAAATTTGGGAGGAAATTTGGAGTGAAAAGAAACTCAAAAAATTGATGAGGAATTTCTATAGAAATTATTTCAATAGAAAAATGAAATTCTGCAGACATTTCTATAAAATGGTTCTCATTGCACATTTGTTATTGAAAAAAACTACAGAAAAGCTGCGGAATTTTTCAATAGAATCGGATAAAGACTCATGAAATTTTCAGTAGAAGTGCAACAGAAATCCAATAGAATTTCCTAACGAATTCGCTTCTCAACAGAAAAAATTAATGGAATTTGCTTTTTTCATAGAACTTATTCTATTGAGATATTTTCTACAGACATTCCTCTGCTCAAATTCAACAAATTTTTTTGCTCGATTCTTTAAATGGAAACCGAAGAGAAATAGAGTGAAAAACGTCGAAAAATTGAGGGCTGAAATATCATCAATTGAAAATTGATTAGGAAAATTGATGTGAAAATATCTCAACAGAAAAAGTTGTATAGAAATAGAAAATTCTGTAGATCTTTATATAGAACACAATTCCTAGCAGAATTTTCTATAAAAAAAATGGATAAAAAAATTGAAATAAATTTTTTTCTATTAAAAAAACGCGAAGAAAAGCAGCGGAATTCCTCAATAGAAATCCAATAGAATTTTCTATCGAATTCGCTGAGTTTTTCTATGATTATTTTTATCCGTGTGCAACTCCAAATGTCCGAACGATAATAAAAAAATTGTATAAAATTACCAGAGATAAAGAAGTGGATGAGATATTTGACAGTGCAACTCAGCACCTTCGGGAAGTGGGAAAAGCCCTGGCGACTCTAACTGGAAATGTTGAGCACGATTTAAAGGTTGACACCACGTCAACCCCTGACAAACAGTAAAATAAATATGAAATTGAAAATCCCCTCCAGTTGTTTCAATAAAAACATTAAAATTCAATGGAGTGGTAAAAATTTCCAGTCAGTTCTACTCATTTAAGGTTTTAGTTTTTGCTCCATATCTCGGAACCTAGCGGAGATAGCGAAATCCTTCTGAAGACCTTCTTCGTCGCTCTCGTTTCGCTCTATATCAAAGGTTTCAGAAGAATTCCTTTAGATTCCGAGATATTCATAAAAAATGGAACCTAAAGTAGAGTTGCTGAATTCAAATGTTACCACTTCGCTACCGATTTCTAAATCCACTCCACGACCATTACCAAAATATTTTTCTGAAGCTGATGCTCGAGGAAGTCGCAATGAAAATTGAAAACTGGAGAGAGAACGCTCAGAGTGAAGTGGACAGTGGAATAAACGCGTTGAACGATATCAGAAAACGAGTGATCTTTCAGAATCGAGAGAATGAGACGAAAATAGCCGAAATTGAAGCGACGAAGGCAATGTATGAGAAAGCTATGATCGATGTAAGTGAGTCATATCATCATCCTCATCATCATCACACATGGGAAAAAATTTTATAGAAAAACAGCGAATTCGTTTGGAAATTTTGTTAAATTTCTATCGATCTTTCTATTATTTTTCAGCCGATTCTATTGAGAAATTCAGCTGTGCAGTTTTCCGGAAGGAAATGTTGAATGGAAAGTATTCTATAACAAAAAATCAATAGAACTCGATTTTTCTACATAATTTATTCTAGCGAGATGCTTTCTATAGAAATTCCTCGGCGCAAATTTTATTAGTTTTGTTATTTGATTATTTAATGAAAAGAGAAGAAAAATTGAATGGGAAAAACTTGGGGAATTCCGGTTAAGGAATTCCTATAGAAAACGCCTCAATAGAATAAGTTCTATAGAAATATTAAATTCTATGGATTTTTTTGTAGAATATATAGCCGCAGAACTATTCAATAGAATCGACTAGAAATTGATGTAATTTTCAATAGACGTTCAATAGAAATCCAATAGAATTTTCTATAGAAAATTGTGAAATTTCATTTAGTTTTTGGCAGATTTTATCGACAAATTCCGAGGCTCATCTGCCCATTTTTCTCAATAGAAATGTTCAATGAAAAAATCAATACAATTCTATTTTTCGGGTCTTTACGATTTGTTCCCTTCCTAGCCCCCAACCTCTATACCGCATTCGCCGAAGGACAAGGGAAAACCTCACTTGAGGGAAAAACCTGCCCAGGTACAGTCGTCTCTTGCTAGACTTCCGCTCGTCAAATGAAACCGCGAGATTTAGAGTGTCACACATTTTGGCCCTCCCAGTCGGAAATCGAACCCGGATCTCCCGCATGCCAATCCTACACTCTAACCACACAGCCACCGCGGTCGGTATTTTATTGAAATATTTCCTATATAAATTCCTCGGCTCAGATTTCTCAAGTTTTTTCCTTCGATTTTTTTAATGGAAGGAGAAGAACACTAGAGGGGAGAAAATTAGAGAATTCATGGCGAGGAATTACTATAGAAAATGACGAAAAGGAAAGTTGTATAGAAAGATGAAATTCTACTAATTTTTTCTAGAAGAGTTTCTATTGGCCATTTTCTAAACAAAATAAGAAATTTTCTCGTGAATTCGGTAGAAAATTCTGTTGGATTTGTACTGAACTTTCTATTAGTTTGTTCAAAATAATTTCTGTTGACATTTTCTATTAAAAAAAAAGTTTTAAAATAAGGCTGCAGAATTTTTCAATAGAATCGACCAGAATCGACCAGAAACTTGTAAAATCTTCAATAGACGTCCAATAGAGATCCAAAAGAATGTCGAATTCGCTAGGTTTTTCTATGAAATTTGTTTCTGTATGCATCATCATCATCATCAAATGATTTTTATTGCAGAGTGGCATGAAGACGACAATTGGAACCGATCCCTCATACTCGAGAATTCAGCTACCTCCGCTGCAACCAGGAGGGGTGCCACCAGTTCCAGGTTCTCAAGGTCTTCAGCAGACCCCTGGCGTGATGACCCCAGCAAAGGTAATGTCTCAACTACCACCAGGAAGTCAGCTACAAGCAGATGGATCTGTGCTGATGCCATCTGGGGCGGTAGTACCGCTGTCAGCGGTATCTTCAATTGAAATTCCTGGAAACGGTCACGGAAGTCAACGTTCGGAGGTGCCTCCAGGGGTATCTAGCACAGTAGGAGGTGCATTTGGTCCGTCCACAGGAACAAGTGCTTTTGGTCCATCGGCCCCAGGAAGTGCCTTTGATCCATCGGCCCCAGGAAATTCATTAGCTCCAGCTGCAACTCCTGGAGGTGTATTTGGCCAGGCTGCATCTTCTGGGGTTGCGTTTGGTCCCTCTACGCCTTCTGGGGTCGCCTTTGGTCCCTCTACACTTCCTGGAAGTGCATATGCTTCCTCTGCACCTCCTGGAAGTGCTTTCGGTGCTGCAACTCCTGGAAGAGTTGGACCTTCAACAATTCCTATAGAACAGTTGGCACTGTATAATGGGAAATTCCAAATGCCGGCTAATGCTCAGTTCAGCCAGAATCAGAGAGAGATTGAGGTAGGAAATTCACGGACTCTATGATCTTCCACATACGAACAAATTTGATTGAAAAACCTAGCGAATTCTATAGAATTCTATTCAAGAATTCTGCACTTTTTTTCGGTGGTAATATTCAATGAAAAATTTCTATAGAATAAATCAATAGAATTCAATTTTTCTATACAACTCATTCTATTGAGAGATTTTTGATAAACATTCCTCGGTTCAAATTTTGGAGTTTTTTAGTTTAATTTTTGTTATCAAAAAAGGAAAATTCAGGTAGAGGAATTCCTATAGAAACTGGTGTACAAAAAGAGAAAATTCTACATCTTCTATAGAAAGAAAATTGCTAGAAAATTAATATAAAGTTTAATAGAAATCCCATAGAATTTTCTATAGAATACGTGAGGAAATTTCAAAATTTTCTCTCGAAATATTCTAGTGAATTTCAATTGAACTTCTATTGAAAATTCTATCCGTTTCTAGTCGATTCTATTGAAGAATTCCACGGTTTTACTGCATGTTTTTTGTTAATAGAAAATGTCCAATCGAAACTATTTTGTAGAAAAAAAAGCGCAGATGAATTGCGGAATTTTCCAATAGAATTGGCCAAGAACTAATAGAAAGTTGAATAGAAATCCAATAGATTTTTTTTATAGAATTCACGAGGAAATTTAATAATTTTCTCTCGGAATAGCACAAAAAATTCAATTCAGTCTCATACTTTTTAATATATATTGAGAGAAAAAGATTTTCGAGAAATTGCTGTACTGCTGAGTTGAAATTTCGCTCAGATGTGCTCCCAAACAGTGTCAATTATTTCACAAAATTTCAGATTTTTACCTTCGACTTTACTGTTTTTTTCGTGAAAATTCAGAAAAAAATTTCGAAAAATCTAGACACACATACTGACATACATACGTACATATTTTCTAAAAATATCATATCTTGACGGTTCCTGCCCTAGGGAGCAAATAGCCACCTAACAGCCACCTAATTAGGTGGCTGTTAGGTTTCTACTTGTTTTGGTGTAAAAAAGGGTAAATGATACCTGGAACGATTATGGATGTAAATCTATGAATTATTAAGGAATTTTAGTAGCTTTAATGACATTAATTTCCATTAATTAAGGAAAATAATAGTTTGCGTATTGAAAGGGAAAATAAATCAGTAGGGGGAACGCCGCCGGATGGCGGCAGTGTCGACTTCTCGCCCAGGCCGATAAAGTCGGCAGCAGTGGCGGGAGGAAATTGATTATCCAATAGGTTCATATTGGCATTTTCTTTAATTAGTTTAATTCTGTACTGACCCAATTAATTGCCCTACGTGAACAATGTTATCGCAAATAGATATGTAGGAGGAGAATGCTGCGGGTCAAATAGGGGCGAAGAGGGGCATCAAATAATTAGATAAATA